CTGGCTGGTAGACTATTCATTAAAACCATCATTTCTGCTGATAAACTAACTGTTGATATTTTCAAAATATCCTGATATACATAAACAGATTTATATAATAATATTTCAAAAGATATGACAATGTAATAAATATTTTAAATAGTTTATGCGGTGCTAATTTTAAACCTGGGAGTGCTAAGCACTCCCAAGCACCCCCCTATGTGCGCCTATGGTGCACAGTCGTTATTAGAAACATCGGATGCCTACAGTTGGGGATACAGCGCACAGAACCAACAAAACACGGTTGTCTCGGTTTCAAGAATAAACGTTGCTTATGGCCAACGGGAAAAGGCATGGGAGGGTCATCGATAATTAATGCTTTGTTTTACACGAGAGCCTCTCGTCGAGAGGAAAAAAATATCATTATGATACAATTGCAGCACTTGGGAATGTCGGATGGGCTTACAATGTGGTACTGCCATATTTCTTAAAATCAGAGAACAGTTCAATACCCCGGAAATATCAAAATTTCTCGTTCCATTCACAAAAAGGATATTTTCATATCGAACGAGCCCAATATCGTTCACCACTCGTTGACATGTTTATTGATGCAGGTGGTGAACTAGGATTGCAAAAAAATATTGACTATACAATTGATCCGGAAAACGGAATATCGAGTATACAAGCTAACACAATAAATGAGCTTCAAGTAAATATATATTTTTATTTGAAAAAATAATGACGTATTATCTCGAGCAGGCTCTCACGACACACAACGGAAGGTCCCGAGTTCTTATTAAAATATTACATAATATTGTACTATTTTTATACCTTTATAATTAATGTTTGGTAGTGTGAGTTTGATAATATGAAACGAAACGCGTTTGTAAAGTGTTAATGGACTGTATCCGAAATAATATATTATAACAAAATTTCAATTATAATTATAATAATATTGACAATAGTACGGACGACATGTTGCGCACTTATCGTATAGCGCTTTTCGTAGTCTATATACGAC